TAACGCTGAATGTTACGCACACACGTGCGCGCACACCCCATGCACCGTCATCAGGTGGTGCCAACTGAGTACACTTTCCTCTCTGCTAGTCGTATCATCACGAACCAGTTCTCAGCCACGGAGCACTTCCGTCAGCTTACGCCTGTGAGCGACAAGGGTCTCCCAAGTACGTCTTTGTGATCAGCTTCCGGTATGGGTTTCTACATGTCGTTAAAAGACTGACAATCTGATCGTGGTGTGGACGTGCAGTGGTCTCATTCAGCTACACTTTCTCGCCGATCATGTTCCGCATCGAACAATACCGAGTGGGGTTCCTACAGTTCCTCACCAGCGTCTGCGCTATTGTGGGTGGTGTGTTTACGGTGCGTCATCGCTCTGCTTGTCTGAACCTCGTTTGGCAGTACACTTACGTGGTCTTGTGAGATCGTTGCTGTAGATTCTTGGGATCATGGACTCGCTCGCGTTCGGGCTGCTGAATAAGACGAGCAGCACGACACTGCTGTAACTGGTTTGAAGCTAATCTCGAAATGTGGACGTGAGCTTTTCTCACCTCATTACTTATAGAATAGTGCATTCTCGTCTTGAGGTTAGGCGGTATGTGTGTGCCTTGCGAGTTGCCCGGAGCTGTGGAACCTACCCGGGCCGTTGCCCCATACCGGTATCTTCGCGTGCGTTGTGTTAAAACGAGGAAAGAGGCAGAGTCAGAATTGACTGCTTGATCCTTCCCGTGACACAATGGTTTTAAAAGATTCCTTGTCTCGAAAGAGACGCGCCTCATTTGCAATTGATGGCTCTGGACGTGGTAGAAATGCCGACGTTTCGGAGAGGAGCAGACGAAGTGCATGAAGGAGATCAGTGCTAAGTTTGAACAGGTATTAGCGGAGCGTGGCAGTCGTGGATCTTCGTCACCGAAGATCGACGTGGTCAGTTGCTTCGGACTCGTGAAAATAAATTGATGGTAGACTGGAGAACTCGATGCAAACAATACGATTTCTTCTTCTTTCTACTCCACCGACATGTACAGCAGCTCTTCTTAACGGCGTCTTGCCTCGTTGCCAATCCCAAAGAACCGCATTATTGCTTCACGTTTACTTGTGTTCTTCAGCTTCTTGACGAGGCGATCATAGGCTACGATCACGCACTGCTGCTTCCTCTTCAGCCGAAGACCAGAACATTGCAATCTGCGTCGATGTTAGACTAGAGCTGATTGGACTCGACCCCGTAAAATTGTTACTTGACGCGTAACTTTGGTCAGTCGTCTCGATCTCCAGCACGTCCAGCGTAGCACGCACTGCATCGTACTGACGAACTGGTTTGGTACTTCGTGATTTGTTCCGTGAGCAGTCACGAATGGAAAATGTCGGAGGGTCTTTGCCACCGTAACGAAGAGGCCGGAACGGTTCAAACCCCTTGGTTTCGTCATGACAAGGCTGGATAGCCACGTAGGCTTGAAGAGACAGCTTGAGCTTGTGACGTGAATCGAATACCCGTGCAATCTTGGTCGGTTCTACATCACACCTCATTGCTTCGATCGGGAGATTAGCGTAAAAGGCGTCAACTGCGTCTTCAACAGGTTTCTCTCGATCGAAAGTGGTGGACAATCTCCTTGCCTTCTCTCGGGTATCTGGTTGAAGGAGATCCCTGAAGTTCGAGGCGAGAGACGCCACCGTGCATGTCTTCCAATCGATCAGTGGCAGACCCACTTGGGCCTGCTGACACACACACGCAGTAAAGTTCTGCAATGAGTGAGCACCACAAACGCCCACCGGCTTGCCAGCCGAGAGAGCTTCAGCAGTGATGTCTGGTTCTCCCCAATGGATTGCTGCAAATACGTTTTCTTCTAGAAAAAGACGTGTATAATGGACACCGCTGGCAATCTGGAGGACGTTGGCAGACTGGTAGGGTACTCGCGTCTTATCGCCTACCTCGCGGGTCTGGAAGATGATGCGTACTTAGGAAGCTGGGGTAGTGGCTGCAGCGTCAATCTTCCGCAGTAACTCGTCCAGATCGTCGGTTGTCATCAGCCGCGTAGAGACTCCAAAGTAGATGATTGGCAGGGTTGACGTCTGGAATGCGAATTTAGCAAGTTCGTCAGGCCACATGAATCGCTTGTCCTCTTTTTCGCGCTTCTTTCCTCGTTTTCGGCTAAGACCGTCCGTAGGTCCGAGCGTCACATGACCCACAACTGACAGCTCAGCTCCCCAGTCCAGAGGCTTCGGCAGCAAAGCAGGATTCCAGAGATAAATGTGAGGAATCTCCCATCGAACCAGCGGATCAGGAAGATCGCATCGTTTGTTGAGCCCGATGAAGGCGCGAAACTGGGTCAAGACTTCTTGGACGCCCCCGTGCCATAGAGTGGTATCAACCACCCCATACGTCATCAAGTTACTCTGACACAAGGTCCTGATTGTCGGTTCAATGCCGTTGATGGAGCTCAGAGGGTGAGGGAAACAATATGTCGGTGAAAGAGGATCCAAGCTCGCACATTGGAGTGGAATCCCAAGTCGTTCTGCTACGTGAACGTGACCAAGAAGCAGTGGATGCCACAAGAGTGAATCGGCTCGAAAATGACGCCCAGGGATGTTAGCACCACCACCTTGAGGATCGGATCCGTAGGCTGCCGGCCACAGCGAGTAAATAAGCTCCTTGAAGGCTTGAATGGCGCCTGTACCGAGACGACCAGAAGTTGCCGCCCGCGCTGCGTTTTGGCTTTCGTGCACAAACTTGGCAAAATCTTGAACACTCTCGGGTGCTCCAGCGAGTGGATAAAACTCCAAACCGCGTAACATGATCTCGGAGCGAAACCGTTCATTGGATGCAACCCGAACACGATGTCCCTGGTCCTTAAGTTTGATCCCGATAGCTACAAACTGCTTCACTCCATTATTCCAGGTACCGATAGCAGCGAGACAGATATTCATGAGTGGCACTCCTTGCCCTGTTTCCGGCGTCTTCTTTGAACTTGAATACGCTTCCCATTCAGCAACGATCGACGGTCCGACTACGTCGGCCGATTCGCCCCACAAGTCCAACGATATCTCCACAGCACCCCTCGAAGTAAGCTTTGCAGTTTGCAGTTCAATGTTTGAGGCTTTGCTGGTGTCCGTACCCCCGTATTTAGCAGCGCTAGTTATTGAGTCCACATCGAGAAGCGCAATGTCATTGCTAGGCAGTTCTTGCAATGGTTGGTTGTACTGACACTGGGACTCCGCACGAGCGGTAAATAGCACACCTTCCTTCTGTTGCGTACGTCGTTGGACCCTTTCTGCTTTTAATAAAGCCTCGTAGCGAACGCGATAGCGGCGTTTAACGGTGTGCTGTAGGTGATTCAGCATCTTTTCACGGTCTTTACGTCGCACAAAAATCACGACGTCAACAGCATTCGGTCCAACTACCAAGCAGAAGGTGTCAACAAATCCATTTTCTGCTCCAAGTGCCGCCATTAAATGTCGGTCGAACACACTGTTCAATTTGCGATGCCCTTCTTCTCGATTCGCGTTTTTTTTTTCCTGTAGCTGCATGATCTGCGAGGAGCAGAACTCCGTGAACCGGTCTCACCAGCAAATAGTAGACTCCAGCCACGGTTCCTTTGATTCCGCCAATGACTCCTCCTTTGATCAATCCTTTTGCTGGTTGTACCAAGACACCAATAAACGCCCCGGTCAGTTCGTGTGCGAAGACGATGACCTCAGTGGCTACTCCTGTCAACAACGAGCTTGGCCCTCGAGCAGAGTAGTCGACAGCGTTGTATCGCAGAAACCTTCGATGTTTTTTGCCTTGACGCTCTCTCACAACAAATGCACAGCGATCGCAAAGCTTGATCCGGTCATGAACACTCCACTGTGAAGCAATACGCTGATGATCCAAGTCACACCACATATCCTGGGTCGGGAGATGGCGGTAGAAACTGCGCACAGCCTCTTCAGCACCATCTTCCTGCTGCATCATACGCTGCATCACTTCAGCTCGTTCACGCAGCTCCGGGTTTGCTAGATCCACGAAAGCCTTGCGTAGTATTTCGGTCGTGAGTTGAGTTATAGGACACGGAGAGGCCCCACTCGAGCACTTACAACAGCTTGGCCCCAGAACGGTTGGTCTCCGAAAAATGGCACAATGAAGGTTGGTTTACCAGCTAGTAGGCCCGCAGCAGTAGTACCGGCACCGCCATGATGAACTACAGCAGATACTCTGGGCATGAGCCAGTCGTGAGGACAATTTCCAACAAAGAAGACGTTGCTTGGGATCTCAATATCACCAGCCATATCACTCCAGCTCGACTGGATCAGGACACGAACGTTGGCTTGTTTAGCAGCTTCAATGATCATTTTCGTGGTTGCCAGAGGATTCGCTAGAATCATGGAGCCAAAGCCGACAAAAATTGGACCTCCGTCATCTCGTAAGAATGCTTCAAGCTCTGGAAATGGAGAATAGACGCATGCGGCTTCTTTCAGCGTAACAGTACCAATTACATCGTTCAGGCCACCCCAGTCTCCAGGTTTCGGTACGAGCTTAGGACTCCACATGAAAGCGTGGGGGATATTCAGGTCCAGTAGCAACTCGGAGCCAAGATCACCATTGCGGATTGGACGCAGCTTCAGAACTTCCGTTCGGAATTCGTTGATCATTCCCTCGGTTCCATGCCACATGATGAGATCCACGAGTTTGTAGGAGAGAAAATTCCTCTTTCGCCAATTTCCAGTGTACGCTAAATTCGACAGCGGATGTGGGAACGCCATCGTAGGAGCCCAAGGTTGTGGGAACATGATGTGGAGCGGTACACTGAGACGTTCAGCGACGTGAATATGTCCATACGAAACTGGATTTGCAATGATAGCCTGGGCTCGAAATGGTGGGCCTGGAACACCTGGCCCCCCACCGTCAGGGTCTGCATCGGATACAGCCGGCCACGTGGAGAGTACAATTTCGTTGATCATCTCTCTGTTTCTTGGTACGTCTGTCGTAAGCGTCTCGATTTTGGTTGGAATGAGGTGGCCACCGGTCTTGACCATGTAAGCAGCTAGTTCTTTTGGGTCTCCTCCCAATGGGTAGAACTCAACGCCGTGGGTCATTACGAATTCTCTGTATACTGCGTGGGTGGCTAAACGTACTCGATGGCCATCTCTTTGAAGTCGTTGTGCAATGGCCAAGAACGGTTGAACGTCACCTCGTGTGCCCACAATGAGGATACAGATATTCATCAAAGGTGGAACTGAGACCAAGCGGGTATCGACGCATTTGGCTGCTGGCTTCTTATAGACTGCGTCTTGTTCACGACTTGGGGAATCGGATGATCCGCTTTGCACTTCAGGAGTGTTTACTCGTAGCGTTTGCAGGTCGATGGCATCTTCTGCAGGGAATTCCAGTTGAATGTGGCCATCTGGTCTCTGAAGCGCGAGGATCGCACGGTGAAGCAAGCGCAACTTGCCACTCGCGAAAGACCTGGAATTGGACGACCAAGTGTCGACTGGGGTTGTGCGATGCATCTAGGGTGCCGACAGCAGTGCAAGTCGGTGAATGGAACTGTGCTTCATCAAACTTCTTACTTGTACATGCAGAGAATGGACTAAAGATAGAAAGTAATCAAAGCAAAACTCTCGATTATCAGTAAAATCCAGCAATTGTGAGATATCCATTTAGCCTGCGATTATGGCATTTACCTTATTCCGCTTCAGCATTGTCTCTCTATGCATTCGCGTGCGATCCTTCCACTATACATTGTCGCTGTGCGACGCCGTCGCTACCTTCCAACCTTTTCTAGTTTTTCGAAAGCGCTAATTTAATTTAACCCTAGAAGTAGTCACGGCCTGATTACTGCAATTCCAGCGGCTGAATTCTCGCCGAGAGCCCGTGCCAAGTGACAGCTCACCGACGGTGTAACGGGGTACAATCCAGTGTGCCCCATGTTACATAAAAGAATGACCCGTCACTCTTGTGGACACCTGGTACACGGTGCCAGGTGCTCTCGGAGCCAGTCAGTGCATTACTACTTAGCTCCACTATAGGTAACCTCTAGTTTGTATGAGACCCAAGCTTATCTTACTCATAAATACATCAGCCTTGAATCTACTCTTCTAAGTAGCAAACCGTTCCCTTTGAGGCCGGAAACACGTGGACTAACGTTTACTCGGGTAGTTAATACCCTTAAGCACTTCCTCTGTGCAAGGTGCTGTGTGACCCCGTCACACTTGGTAGCACTCGTAATCAATCCAACACCATCGCGGGTAGATTGAGCTACCTGAATCCTCTGTGCGCTCAACGTTTGAGCCAAGATGGACCGAAGCGAGTTTCCTCGCTTGAACGACTCACAGTACGAGTCTGTTCGGAAGATGGGAGGCATCTTTGGACAAGATGTCCTTCGCAGCTTGGCGGCGGCGACGCCTGCCGAGCAACAAGAACGCGTGACCGCGTTTGAGACCTATGAGCGTGGTCTCATCGCTCACATCCGCGGGAGCTTGGAGGCCACGATGGCCGCTCCCCAGGCAACCAGGCCTAAGCCGGTGTGGCTGAAGACTTCCGCGTTTGAGGGGAGGGAAGGAGAGAACCTTCACTTCTGGGTCCGTGAGGTGGAGATCGCCATGAAGGCGGGTCTCATCTCGGACGAGCCAGTTCGGGTGGCGTTTGCCCTGTCCAACCTTGGTGGACGTGCCAAGCACTGGGCATACACCAGGGAGACGACATCTCCTGGATGCTTTGCACCCTGAGCTCAGCTGTGTGAGCAGCTTCGAGCCGCGTTCCTACCGGCGAACAACGAGTTCCGCCAGCGCTCACGCTTTCTCGCGTGTAAGCAAGGTAAACGTGAGCTGCAGGAGTACGCGCAAGAGATGCGCACGTTGGTGGCATTTCTGGCCGGGAATTCCTCTGCCTGAAGACGTTAAGACAACAGTCTTCATGGACGGCCTGAAGGTCGGTCCTGCTCGCACCCAGCTATTCCGGGTGCAAGCGACAACTATGGAGGAGGCGATTCGAAACGCCCTCCAAGAAGAGTACAGCCACAAGCAGGCTGGTACTCCTCGGAAAGAGGAACATCGCCACGATGAGAATGGCGTTCCTCGGGAGGCGGAGCATCGAAGCAATGACGCTATTGCTCCTGCTGTCACGCAGCCCGTTGATGCCGGTGCGTACAGTGAGCCCGAACCCATGGACTTAAGCTCAGCCGAGAGCTTGGTCCGCTGCTATGGATGCGGCGAACATGGACACTACCAGCGTGTGTGTCCCTCGCCAGTCCTCGGGAAGAGAACAGCCCGTGGACCCCAAGTCCGGTGGCGCAGGCCACGGCCAGGTGGACGTAGACTCCCCGGCCACCAGTAGAGGCAGTATGCCCTACTGAAGAGCGCTAAGCCTTCGTGATGGGTGTGCAGGCTGTGCGCACCACGGGACTTAGCCCAGAGAGACGTGGCTTTCTCAAACCGGTGAAGGGCAGTGATGGGCCGCTGGTAGTACACTCGGTGTACGGGGGTACGGTACCCCTTGAACGTTTGATGAGTTTTGGGGCGTTGATACGCCGTCGGAACGTCGCTTGACATAGCGACATAGCGACATCCGACTGCACTCTATGTCAGAGTGGCGGTCGTGGGCTGGTCCTTGGTGGACTAGCCTTTGGTACGGTGAGGGAAGTACCAATGGTCCTCAACGGACCTGGACGTTTCGGCTCGATGAACTCGCGCACCGCGATGTCGCTCGCAGATCTCGCCATGAACAACATGGCTGTGCCGAACATAAGGCACAGCCCGGACTTTGGTGTGGCAAGGCTGAGAAGGGCCTACCAGTCCAGGTCTATGACGGAGCATTGGTGAGTCATGTTCCCACCTCCGTCATGACTGGGGCGTCTGATACAGACCGCCAGGACGCAGAAGCGTCACGGAGCTGCCAGCGCGCCGACAGCTCTGCGTACAGCAAGACCATGCTCCGCTGCGGCAATACCACGGGCGTGGGTCTTTGCCCGGTGTGTGGACCTGCTACACCAGCAGCGTCCAACGCCGAAGGTCGTAGCGCCGTACGGGCTTCGACAGTGGTTATGCCTTTAAGCACTAACCAGGTGGGTAACTTAGGACCACACGGTCGCCCAGACCTTAACTGAAGAGGGAGGCGCTGAATGCGCTTCCTGTGTGGATAACACAGTACCACACGCAGTCGCCCAGACAATAACTGATGAGGAAGGCATGACCATGCTTCCTGTGGGTAACACAGTACCACACGCAGTCGCCCAGACTATAACTGAAGAGGAAGGCATTGTCCATGCTTCCTGTGTGTGCCACACGAGGTCTCGAGTGCCTCTGATGTCGTCAACGAGATGTGGTGTAGTGATTTCTCCGTAGTTGCGGATTATCACCCGTCGACAAAGACGTGACACCGCCCAAGTTGTTCAAGCCACGAACCCTCGGTCGGGTGATGTACGGAGACGCCAAGGTGCAAGGGACTCGACGGCGTCACCTCCGAGTTTTTAACAAGTATCGGATACGGCCCTATGTCACTGAATCCAGGCTGTCCTTATTATTAATAATGGACTGGCCGGATTCGCATTCAGCGGACCATCTACGGTACGAACCCTCAGTGGCGGTTGGGATGAGTTCGCGGAATACTCAGCGACCTTTGGAAGACACGTTTACCATCTGGGACAGGGCGCGGACCGTTAAAGATGCTCATGCGACGGTGCAGACGACGCTTGGCATGCAAGAAGATCCATAACGGATCATTGTTCACTTGATATTTGTATACTTGATTAGGACTTCTTATTAGGAATAGACCCGAAAGGGTAAGCTTAAATACAGACCAGAATTTCCACTCAAGCACACAGAGCGACGTCCGGCTTCCAGGTAAGCGTCAGGTCAAGCTTGTTTGAGTGTGTTATGCCTGTCGGTGAACTCGAAGCTCTGTAGCGAGGGTTCATCCGGCAAGGCCAAGAGACTTTGTGTATTGGCCGATTATTATCGGGAGGTTTTACGTGACGGCTTATTGTTGCCTATTTGCACGACTGGGAGTGCTTGAATTGCCTCCCTTTAATTTCTTCCAGCCGGGTGTTGAACACTCGGTGATCTCGTAAAAGGCTTACCCGTGCCTGGTACCCTTCCGCTGTTGGGACCACGAGGATTCAAACACCTGCTAGCTTTGCTCGTGCTAGTAGCGTGTTCTTATTTTACTGGTTGGTCTATATAAGTAGTTTACAAGGTCCGGTTTGTCCCGGTGCAAGGGCAGAAGTGGGGTCTTCAGGTCCGCCCGAACGATCGTTTACTATCCTAGTAGACGTATTGTTGTGGGAACGTCCTAACTACATTTGTAGCTAGAGTTCACGTGGGATTTCCAACACCACAACTGCTGCCGCGACCCGGGAACAGATTGTGACCATTGTGAACTGTTTGTAAGGCCTTCCAGTTTACGAGCTACCAAGAGAAGAAGAACAAGAAAAAGACAAGAAACATGGCGAAAGGACAACCGACGGTACCAGTTACGCCTGCCAAGTCTGGCGGGGCTCGCAACGAGAGTTCAAGCCCGGCTGCGCGCTTTGCAGCCGGCACCGAGCTTTCAGTGAGCTTCGACGACGAAGCAGACATCGGTCCTGACGCCCACGATTATGAAGATTACGAAGACAAGACGCCGGCTCCAGAGCCAGGCGCAGCGACGCCGGAAACGGCCACGCTATCATCGGGGCTGAGTGGGACGACCAGGTCCCTTTCGAGGAACCTCGCCGACGAGCTCGATGATGTTGCGGGACCGGAACCGGCCTATGATGATTATGACGATGGGACCGAGGGTTCTAAGCCTTCGGTGGCGAGTGCAAAGCATTCAGCACTGCTGAAGGCACCTCGCCCACCTATCAACGGTGATACACCAGCCGCCAAGCGCGTATTCGACCGCGTACAAGCGCTGATGCAGAATGATGAGTGGATGCAGCTGTTCAAGCCCATCCCCAAGAAAAAAGCCGACTGGCCTGCGCTTGCGCAGGAACTTCAATACCCAGTCAACTCGGTTTCGACTAGCCAAGGTGCCGAGGATTCAGTTTCGCTACTGTTGTCGCTGGGGTTCGAGAACGAGACGTACCCATCGACGATGTCGCTCCAGGATTGGAGTCCACATGAAGCCGGAGCTGCTCTCCAGAAATGGAAGAAGAAGCTTCGGAAGGCGTTTGGCGCTGTTGGCATCAATGCCGGAAAGCAGCCTGTGAGTCGACCGATGATTCAAGATGAAGATCCGTCTAAGATTCCACTGCCGCCGACGCCCCAACGACTCGTTCGTACTCCTCCGATCAAGCGTGGAGCTGAGCGTGGTGCCTTTGGCACTACCGAAGCTTCACCGTACTTTCAAGACTCGCACATGGTTACGCCACGTTCGGAGAGCCGTATGCAACGTATTTACGCAAGTAACGAGGGTTCGTTCGGTCGCCGAGGCGGTGCGCGAGCTCCCAAAGGTGGTGCCGGACGTCGTCAAGTCGACAGCGATGGTTCGTCCAGTGACGATGACATTTTGGTGCGTACATTCGACGAGGAAG